ATGGGTCTAAATCCAAATCTAAATATGACATCGGGTGTGGGCTTGTACATTTGAGCTAGTTTTTCTTTGTTTAAATCATATTCTTGGGGGCTCGCACAACTCGTATCACCCATGGTGTCAAGCACATTTGTATGTTAGTTGCCATCATCCTCAAAATATGTTCTCTCTACTTGAGCCTTTGGTATCAGATCCTCCTTTTCCCCCTCCCACACCTCCCCTCCCTCATGAGTCCTTGGTAATTTATAAATTATCATTTTTTCATGTCTTACACTGTCTGACGTCTCCCTTCACCCACTCTGCTTTGCTTTTTTTAAAAAATCATTTCATTGGGGCTCTTACAACTCTTGTTACAAAGCACACATCAATTATAGCTGACATTCGCACATAGGTCCCATCGTACTAGACACCTACAGCTTCCCCTTGTTCCCCTCCCTCCACGCCCCCAACCCTGGTGGCCCCCGATGGACTGTAGATGGTTAATGTCGAATCCACCCACGTTTCTGCTGTCTGTCCCCTAGGGAGGGGCTTCTAGGTCGGTCCTTGTGATCGTCTCTCCCTTTCTCCCCCCTTGGCTAGTGTTCCACGGATGTCTGTCATAGGCACTGCTGCTTCCCTAGGGTGAAGGACGCCAATGGCCATTTATTGTCGCTGAAGTTGCCCATTGGTCATGAACGTCCTGGCCCGGATGGTGACTATCATTCACGGCGGTGGAGGACGCGCAAGCAGCCAGAGACGAAGAAACGCATCTTTACTCTTCCCAACCCGTACTCGCTGCCTCCCCCCAGTCTCCCCACTGGCCTTCCTCACTGGGGTCCCCGCCTGCCAGGTGCAAGGAGCCCCGGTGAGTGGCATCGTGAGTTGCATCTTGGGTTGTGAACTGCCAGGTCAGCTGTTCAAAACCACTGGCTGCTCCTTGGGGGAAAGGGGAGGCTTTCTTCTCCCAAGAAAGAGGCATGATCGCAGAGACCCACGTGGGCACATTGTAGCCTGTCCTGTGGGGTTTCTATGAGCAGAGATTGACTCAAAGGCAGAGCCTACACCAGGGGAAGTGTGTGTGTGTGTGTTTTGCAGATGTGCCTGTCACACAGGCACTTTCCGTTTTCCTGGGCTCCT